GGTATTTTTCAAGAAAAACAACATAATAAACCCACCCCCCCGTTACCTTGTACCTTTGACCTTTTGCCCGTGACGCATGGCGCAATTGGAGGCAATTGCACAGTGAGATAAGCAGCTAACTGGAGCTCAATGTAGCGAACATTCCAGGTTACAGAACAGTTTTTGGTGAATTAAAAAAAAAAAAGTTTTTGATTTATAAAGTGGAGTAGACTTGCTACTTGTCAGATGATGGAAAACGTTGAAGTATCGTGTCTGCTTCATCACGGAGTCGCAGTTTAAGCAGAGAGGTAATGAAATACAGACACTGACAGGCCTCTGCGTCTGGCTTACTCTGAAGAACTACTGAGCGGGAGGAGACAGGTGAGGAAAAGCTGTTCTTATCTACCGATTCGGTATTTTTATCATACAGACATTAGGCTGTTGTTGTGCTATTAGCTAGCTGCAAGCTAACGACTTTGCTAGCAAAGCCTCACTGCAGGACCGGGAAGCGTTCCAGGATCCGTTACTGAACCCTCCAGCTGCATCTGATGCTCTTGACGTTCCATTTGGACCTCCTGCTGAAGTTGACTGAACTGGTGTTGCATTTTCCTCCACCGATCATCTTGGCGTTGTCTGTCCTGCTCCCATTTGGCTTCCTGGTCAACATGCTGCTGCATCAGGCCTTTCAATAAAGCTGAGAGTTCAGAAAAACTTTGTGCCTCAGGGTGCTGCTCACCAGAAGCTTCTGGCAGGTTTTCATGATCTTGGGCCTCCTCTGTGGAACACTCCACTGGCCCATGGTGCCTCTTTGATTTGGCTAATTTCTGCATTTCTGATACCTATCGGCCTGGAACCACCGCTGCCACCATTTGTAAAGTAGTTTAGGCACAAGGGTCAGAAGGTGAACAGAAAATCAGTACCAGCCACCCGGTTTCAGTTTCTTCAAATGACTTTTTATTCACTCTTTTCACTGACTTCTCTCTTGAGCATCCAAAAGCTCACTGTTTTTATATCCAATTGGCACCACACCTGGGCTTGATTGGACACAGCCACAATGGAACAGGTCAAACAAACAAAATCTAAACAGAGAAACACTAAAATTACAAATCTAATTTACAAACTCCTACATAATGAAGTCGTCTGCAAAAGAAACTACATAATACAAGAATAACTCAAAAAGTTACTTTAAAGAAAAACAAACAAAGCAATACACAAAAGAAAACCTTGTAATTGGTAGAACCCAGCAAGGTAATCACTGACATCATCCAGCCATTTAAGCAGGAAGTACTGGGCTGGCCCCTCCCATACTCCTGCCCTGCTGCAGATCTACAAGGACAAATTATGGTGAGTACAAAGGAAAACAAACACCTTAAATATACCTTGAAACAAATTCAACCTATAGTCCAGAAATAGTAACTTTAACCTAAACATACATAGATGGACACTGCAACATAATGCTAACACAAACAAACCGGGGATAGTAAGTGAAGCAAAATTGCAATGTTTAAATTAATCATTATAACCAAATATAGAAAGTATGTGAATCGGAAAGAATAAGGGACAAGTGGTGAACACAAACTGAACCACTTTGTCACAGTACTACTGAACCCTTTGGTTAACTTCTTCTCATGATGGTGTTCTTTGTCAACTGAAGGTCAGCTGCCACATTGAATATGGGCTAGACGTAGCATAGATACGGCTGTATGTTTAGGAAAAATAATTAAGAAGTGGGTGAAAACAAACTTGACAAACAGATGAGAGCTCGCACAACACTCCCAACTGTCCTTCCTCTGAAAGCTGCATGATTAAACTCTGTTCTGGGTTCCTTTGCTCTTTGTTACTTTCACTTCCTTAACCTGCTCCAAAATCTGCACTGACATTAATTCCTTCATTCATTGTTTGTACATCTCTTCTGTCGCTGCTGTTTTCAGTTGCATTTTTTGAGGCATGCTACACATGTCAGTTTTTTTTCTTCCACTAGATGGCACTGTCGGACAGGGAATGTAATTTGTTCAACAACTGACATTGGTTGACGTTATGGTGAAGCCTTTTTTTTTCTCTTTCTCTTGGTGTTAGAAAGCAGAGCTTGTTGTCTCAGAGGAGAAGGAAGCAGTGACTGGCCTAGGTACTGGTCAGACTGCAGAGGATGGAAAGGTAACACTAGAACATTCTTTGTCCTTCTGACTGGTTTCAGCAGGATGCGGTCATCAAAACTGAGCGATTATGTTTACAACATGACTACAATAAATAAAGATGCACCGAGAATTCAGCTTGATCAGTTTAGACCAGTCCACTACTGGACCAGACTATGAAGGCTCAAAATTTGCTATGGTTTGAGCATTTAATTTCTGTCATTATTGACAGAATTTCTGCCCTGTTACAAGTGGCCTTAAGACAGACTCTTAAGTAGGCATATTCAGCAGGCAGTCCCTTTAAGCTGATTTGCAAATACATTAACTGGTGTTGTTGCTCGAGTGTATGATGTTTCCATTACAGACAGTTTGTGAAGCCAACTGACTGAAAACTCTTTAAACTCATTTTTATTTCAGATCATATATAAAGGGTCGTTTGTGGCAGAATGCAATGCGTAGACAAAACCACTCATTAACGAACTGTTAAAATATGCATACAGCTCTCTCTGGATTCACTGGGTATTTTTTGAAATCAAATACTATTGAACATCCTTTCACATTGATGTAATTTGCCACCATACTGCTTTGATCTAATTGCTAAAATAATATTTAAACACACAACTGTTATCTTGAAAGTTTTATTTTCAAGACAACAGACGACACACAACCTTTGTGGTGTGAACATTTGAATGAAATAATTTATTGCGATCCATTCTGGAAGAGGTACACTATAGTGCACAGAGAAAGATCCTTTAGCCTAGGGTAACTAGGCTAAAGGATCACTCAAGAAACTTCTTGAGTGACTTGAAAATAGAACCAAACCAGATAGTGGCACATACCACTGTTGTGTTTCACCTTGTAGGAATTTTTTGACACTTAGTTGATGCATAGCGTTCTAATCCCTCGCTGCAGAGCTCTATACCACTCTTAAGGTCCTTCAGTGCTGGCTTGATTTCCAGCTTTATTTCAGATGTATAAGTGAGCAGATCTGAGAGGTTTGTCTCTGTAGATTTTTGTTGGAACTGTTTTGTAAAGGGAATTGTTTACATTTTCTTTGGAATACACAATGAGCTATGCTAACTGTGCTGATAATGCTTATAGCATTGGTAACTACAATATAATTACTATATTGTAAAACTTTGTTCTACAAATCTCTCACACACATGGTGTGGTATTATTTCGGCTCCTGTTATAACATATAACATCAGAAAGCCTAGAAATACATATTTTAAATTCTAATTTAAATCTAAAACTGATAGAAAATTTTACAAAAACTAGAAGTTAGAAATCAGCCTGAAATCTTCTATCGGTGCACCTCTAATGTTAAGCCAACATAAATTTAACTCTTAACACCTGGTCACAAAATCCTAATAATAAACAATGTATGAGAAGATTTTTTTGGTGTATTTTGACTGATTGTCTGATCCTGCACATGTTTCTTCAGGATATTGAGAGCTCCACTGACACTGGAGAAGCAAGTTCATCTGAAGCTTTGTCAGAAGCTTTGGACACAGTGAGAACCCAGTTCCTGTCTGAGAGCATGGACAGCTTCCAGCGTCAACTTCTCCCAGTCTGACCCTAGGCCCCAGCACAGATGTGTAGGTTCCTAGGTATAGAGTATTACAAACACTGATTAACCTGTCTGTCACTAGAGGACCCAGGGGTGTCAAACTCCAGTCCTCAAGGGCCTCTGTCCTGCAACTTTTAGATGTGCCTCTGCTGCACCACACCTGAAAAGAATAATTAGGTCATTAGCAAGGCTCAGGAGAACCGATCTACACAGGGAGGAGGTAATTAAGCCATTTCATTCCACTGTTTTTTACCTGTGGCACAACCAAACGCTGCAAGACAGCGGCCCTTGAGGACTGGAGTTTGACACCCCTGTCATTGTGAATGACAACCTGAGACCAACAGGTTAATGCTTTTCCTGTCAATGTCTCAAAAATATATGATGCTCCTGAGAGATAGATTTTATTACACTAGGTTCTAGTGACTAGAACCTACGATTTGTCATTTCCCTCCAGAAACTTGTTGCAAACCTTCCAACATTTTGTTAGAAACCCTGTTGTAGGTCAACCTATCAACATTTTGTAAATTCTGTCTTTAATCTATATTCTACAATCATCCATAAAACTGTCTTGGTTTTTATTAAGACCTTTGGAGTTCTTTCTTGTTAATTTTTGTCAAATTACATTGATATTTTCAAGAATAAATTTTTGTAAAGGCTTTTAATCTAACTCAAGCTGAATGTAGAAAACTGTTCTGCATTTAAAATCCTTCTGGCATTCACGGAAAGGTTTCTTTTCACCTTCTGACGCAAAAGCTCATGGTTTCTCTCCATTATTTAAAAAAAAAACATCTTTTGCTAGAAACCTTTTCTACATTTTACATATTCTTCCACTTCCAAGCCTCTGCCCTCCTTCTTTTCTGTAAAATTTCCATGAAATAATTTTTGTCTCCATTTTTTTTAATGTCAAATGACTTTGAGTCTGCAACCAAAGCAGGGCTATATTACAAAAAGCCTCTTTCATATAGTACAGCATTACATACTATTGTCTATAACATTCAATTGTTGAAGCTCACAAGATAGGATAATTTGGGATAATGCATTCACAAAAACTAGTAATTTTGGGGAAAACTTGGAATTCAATCATTTTCAGGCTTTTCGCAATTAAGAGGTTTCTGAATTTTAAACTGTTTTAATCTGTTAAGGGATTCTTCAATACTTTAGTAACCAACTATTGCCAGCTACCCCATTGTAGAGTGACTTTTAGCCAAGTCTTTCAAATTAAAAGGCAGTTTTAAGTTTATCCTTACACCTCCCTGATATGTCAATGTAGAATTAGTTAGAAGTCCAGAGCTCTTAGAAAAACATGCCTATCAACCCTGTCGGGGCAGGTAATAAGTAATGTGGACGACATCGCTGAAGAGGACGTTAGGCTCCATTTAAAAATGGAGTATTTTGGAACTGGACTGAAATGGAAGTAGATGTGTGCCAGAAGACTTCTTGTTTTCCAAGTTTTCTGTGTTTACATGAAGGACAGTGGAGCTGGCATACAGCATATACCACACATTTCTGAGCACGGTATCTGCAACAGGTGTTTAGTGCATTGAAGGTTTCTGTTGCACCAGACAAATGAAGGTGCTGTGATGGAGGGATGGTTTGTTATAAGTCTACTCTCTGATGAGATGCAATGTCAGACACAGAGAAGAGATTCAAGGAAATGTATTTTAGGCCTCATTTTTATAGTGTAATCATAGACAGCTTACAATACTAAAACCATTATGAATTTTAACCTTTTCATCTGTTGTCTGCTCTTAGTGACCAGCAGCTCAAAGCTTTTTTGATATGCATCTAATTGTGAATTAATACAGTTGAACATGCTGTTTAATTAATCAAGTACTTTCTCAGCTAAGTTAACAGCTCAGCTACTGCTCTTCTAAACAGATCCCTGATTTATGACAAACCAGCTGATAGACTTTCTCTGCTTTTATTCTTATGGAAATGACTTATGTGATTGTTGCCATGAAAATGCAGTGGTTTCACCTGATACCTGCTTAATAAACAACTGTTGGCACTGATTTCTAAATTGTTGTTTTTGATGACATGCAGATTTCAGTTGACAGCAGCAGAAACTTTTTGCATTACATGCCTTTGTTCCTGCTTCTGTTCAGTCGTCTTCATGTGTTTCGGTGCAAAACCAAATGAAGACAATAAATGTGCTTCAGTGATCTATTCGTCAGCGTCTTCTTTTCTGGTGTCAGGAGCTTTTGAGACAGCACTGTAAAGTTGTACAGACTGTTGGACTGCAGACTCACTTCACACACATCCTGGAGATACTGCAATAGGGAAACTGTTAAATATATAAGTCCTAAAAACCTGAAGAAGCCTTCTATCAACTCACATTTTTATTCACACTGTCTGACATTACATTCAGAATACATTTTTACATAAAAAGTATTCAGCCCTTTGGATATGTAACCCTTTTAAATATCAAGTTTTTAAAAATTGGCTTTTTTGACAAAATCTTTCTAAAAAAAAATCCTTTAACACCAACGTGAAACTGATTTCTACAAAGTAATGACAATCAAAATAGAAAACTGAATACAAAATTTATCACAAATATTGACACCCTTTAAAGCGTGTGGACTTCCTCTGTCTTTATTCAACAGAGGTCCAGCTGGTTGGCGCTAGTAGACTCGCAATGAGTGGAATGGAGATCACATGACTGCAGAGAGTATTGAGACTTTACACACTTTAGAGCCATACACACTGATTCCAGCCAAAGGTGTGTCTACTTACTTATTTTTTGTTAAATATTTTGGTAACACTTTATTTGAAGGGGGTTGAATAAGACTGTCATGACACTGTCATAAACATGACATAACACCTGTCATGAACATCAATAAGTCTTCATGAATATTTATGACTGTTGTCATAAAGCGTCATTCGGTAAATAATGACACTTTTAATACAAAGTTGACATTATTCAAAATGTCTTCGTTATGACAACTTGTCATTAACCAAGAAATCATGATCTGACATAAATGTTATAAAACTATTACCGATTAAACTTTAAAAATTAGCTTTATGTAGTAATATTATAAAGCTCTGCCATGTTGTTTAGTCTTAATTTTCTTAATTTAGTCAATCCTAAAGTTTTACAGCAAGATGTCTACAAAGCACTTATGAACTTAGCATTTGGAACATTATTTAAGGCTGTTTAAAGTAGTGCAATACACCATCTCCACCAGTGAGAGGCAGCAGTGCACGAACAGACGTGCACTGTGTTGGTGAAGAAGAAATCTTCCATATTGTGGCGCAAACCTAACACAAGTTATAACGGCCAGACCTCCTGTTTAAAAAGAAGCCGAAGTTTGATACCTAATACATATGAGGTATGTGTCTTATTAACTTTACATTTTCTTTGAGAAAATAACATTGACTATGTTCTCTTTCTCTGTAATGTTAGCTATAAGCAATTCAAGCCAATCCTACCTTGCTGTAAGTTAATGTTAGCTAAAGTTATTAAACACAATTACTGTAACGTTAGCCCTTAATATTAAAGACAGGCAAATTGTTTTTCCCCCTCCAATTTTAATCTAGCAAATTAAAAGCTAATATATTAGTCAAAGTTATCCTTCATGTGCATTATTTAGCGACTTGGCTGATGTGACACAGTGCTTGTGTTCTTTGCTTTGGCAAGTTTAGCCACATGAAGACCCAGGCTAGCCTAAGGACACATGGTGGGGAGGACAAAGTTGGCTAATGAAGACATGCTACGAGTGTGGAGGATGATAATAAGGACCAGCCACCAGAGAAAGAAGTTCCTATTTGACCAAAGAGAAAGAAGCAGATGAAATATTCCCCAAGAAAATTAGGTAAGTCGTTTTTGTGTTAATATTTTCACCATGTGAA